TTCGCCCCAGGGGCCCCGAGGTGGTGACCGAGGAGGACCTGCACCTCCTGCGCCCGGAGGCGCTCTGAGAGGGGCCTCCCGGGCCACGGCTCGGGCCGCGTCTTCCGGAGGCGCCTCGGAGAGAGGCGCCGGGAAGCTGCGGAGCCAGTTATCCTGGGAATAAGTTGTGCAGGGAAAGGGGTTCGGCCTGACCCTCACCAGAAGGGTTTTATGTGTTTGTCCCCAGAAGTACTTTTCATATCTCAATGTCCCCGCTAACCCTTAACAGAAATAACAAGAAAGCTAGGTTGTTCCAGGCAAAACAGAAATTGAGGCTGGAAAAGCTAGGTCGGGGGCAGAAAATCCTGGCCTCGCCCAGCTCCGACCGAACACCCAGGACAGCGGCCAGGCCAGGTGACACATCTGCAGCGCCCAGCCGGGAAGTGAAACCACCGCCGCTGCAGGAATCCGCCCGATGGGCAGCGATGGTCTGACCGCCAGCTTCCCTCTTCTGCTGCTGCTTCCAACCCATCAGATAAAGTCAAATGGGTTCCCCAAATCAGTCACACAAGGTGCCCTCTAACAGTCCGCCTCCAGCTTCCCTATGCCAACAACACCCTCCAATCTGTTCTCTTTGTTGGTCTTTATATGCACACAACCAATAGAAAGGTGATAAAGAAGCGTGAAAAGGCTGTTCTTGAGATTAAAAAGAAGATTCCCCTTACAATTTTTAAAATGCTTAATTTGTAGCATGTCATCTCCCACCCAGATTTTAAAACACTCATGTGAGGAAATAACCCTACACCTTGTGCCCATCCTGGAGAGAGGTGGCTTAATAAATGGTTACTTAATAAAATGTAACAATGTGAGACCTTTGTTTGCCTCACTGTCTTTCCAAGTAGCATGAATGTTAAGGGGAAAGGAGCCTAAAGATTTGAAACTGGGGTTTCTCCCTATACAGCAGCGGTTCTCAACCTGTGGGTCGCGACCCCTTTGGGGGTCGAACGACCCTTTCACAGGGGTCACCTAAGACCATCGGAAAACACATATATAATTACATATTGTTTTTGTGATTAATCACTATGCTTTAATTATGTTCAATTTGTAACAATGAAAATACATCCTGCATATCAGATTCATAACTGTAGCAACATTACGGTTATGAAGTAGCAACGACAATAATTTTATGGTTGGGGGTCACCACAACATGAGGAACTGAATTAAAGGGTTGCGGCATTAGGAAGGTTGAGACCACTGCTATACAGCCAAAAAATGAGGCCAGGCGAAGGAAAGGGGTTTGCTTCATAAATAAACTTACCTTCCACAGGGGCTTGGCTGAAGTCCTGACAAAACAAAAGTGAGGAAGCAGCCAGAAGTAAAATATGAAATTGCTGCCCATTTTTACCTGGGAATCCTGTCACAGCTAAAACTTTAAAAGAGTCTGTATAGTGTCTTGTAAGATAGTCAGATATCCTTATAACTTTACTAGAGGCCTGGTGCACAAAAATTTGTGCACTTGGGGAGGGGGTGAGGTGTCCCTCAGCCTGGCCTGCACCCTCTCACAGTCTGGGAGCCCTTGGGGGATGTCCACCTGCCAGCTTAGGTCTGCTCCCAGGGGAATCAGGCCTAAGCTGGCAGTCAGACATCCCTCTGGCAGCCGGGGAGCCCTTAGGGGATGTCCGAATGCTGCAGAGTCAGGAGAGGCTCCCAACCCTCAGCTGTGCTCGAAGCTGTCAGCCTGGCTTGTGGCCGAGTGGAGCTCCCCCTGTGGAAGTGCATTGACCACCAAGGGCAGCTCCTGCGTTGAGCATCTGCCCCCTGGTGGTCAGTGCGTGTCACAGCGACCGGTTGTTCCCTGTTGTTCTGCTGTTAGGGTCAATTTGCATATTACCCTTTTATTATATAGGATGTCAGCCCTTTTCAGTTTCCTGATGAGAAGCATAGACAGTATAGAATTAAGTTATGAACC